GCGCAATTTTAAACTATGGTCCTAGATGTAATAAATGACAAAGGTAGCTCTACCAGCATATTGATTTTCAAAAGTTTTAACTTTCACGCCAGATGTTCCCCCATAAGCTTGAGATTGAATTTTAACCCCTCCAGTTGGTCGTCATTTATATGTTTCCATTACCTTATTGTGACCCTTTTCCCTTTGATGTTGCTTTTCTAATTTTAGTGCCATACGATATGCCTCGTCAGTTTTAATGATATGATACAAGTTGAGTTGATCTTGGATTGACCACTTTAAGCCATTGATGTATCTTGAAACAATTTTCTCTTCAGATTCATTTAAATCATTTCTGATTGAAGTTTGTAAAACATTTCGGTGTATTCTTCAACAGATTGATTTCCTTGTCGCAAGTTATTAAATTCTTGGAATATTGTTCGAGCATGATCAGTTGGCAAAAATTTCCCTTTCATTTTTTCCTTCATCCTATACCAGTTTTGGACTTTTTTTTTACCTCTCCTAAGTCTATTATTCTGAAAGTTTTTCCACCAGGTTAAGACATGACCAGAAAGTTTTAGGCTAGCAAAACAAACCTTCCTATTGTCAGGTATTTCCTTCCACTCAAAAAATTGATCCATTTTTTCTACCCACTCAAGGAATTGACGGGTTGAAGTTTTCCCTCAAAGTTAGGAACATCTATTTTAATTCCATGACCCCAGTTTCTTTATTGCCTAATTTGATTTCTATGAACCTCCTCTTCACTTTCAGAATTTTGCACATTAGGATTAGCATTATTAACATTCAAATTTTCAATTGCTTTAGTCATACTGGCATAGTATTAATTTGTTGTTGCAAATTATTCAGTTGTTGCATTAGATTTTGCCAATCCTCCGGATTATTAGCCATCTTAGAAATTAGAAAAAGACCCATCAAACAAGGACAAGAAGCCAACAAAAACACACCAACCAAGGATAAGAACTTGCTCTGATACCAAACTTGATGCAGACAAACTAGATAGGAAAGCCATATAAGGAGAACGATGGGCAAAACTATAACCAAACTCGATTCAAAAAGTAGCAATCATCTAAAATACAAAAACCGACGAATAAAACGAGAAGTGAGATCAAAAGAAACAAAATAAAATTTAAAAGACGCTATTCTCAGAACAACCGACAGAACGGTTTCCTCACATGCATCAAAATGTATGTTAAGTATAGTATGTGCTTAGGGCTAGCAAATCGATGGTTCACCACAGCAAGAAGGTCCAAACGTCGAACCAAACTCCTCCGGCAAATGCTCCCAAATCAGCCAACAAACACTTCCAAAGCTCAAGAAGAAGGATACAAATGGAGTGGAACTTGCGTAGAGAAGAAAGAGGTAAGAAGCTCAGATGAAATAGAGAAGAATGAGAAGTGGACAAAGCTCTCAAGCTTTTCCAAGAAGAGAAAACCCTCAGGTTTTAGAGACTAAGCTCAACACAATTCAACAACCTTCTCCTTCATAAAACATCTTCTTTATATAGGCAAAAGAGGGGAACTAAACAAACATAGCACCTCCAAATAAACCAATTAGATTTAGGGAAATGAAAGGTCAACAATCACAACACATCAGCCCCCATACGGTACATCAAAACAGAGAAGAGAAGCCACGGGAACCAAGCAGCCAGCCGCATGAACCAAGCAGCCAGCCACGGAAACCAAAGGGGCAAGGCACGGGAAAACAGCCAGCACAGGAAAATGAGAAGACAAAGGGGAGGAGAAGAGGAAAGTCCACTCCAAATTGAATCCTTGAATTAAAGCATACCTTTTTGGAATAATGAGCTAGGAAGTTCAATAAATCTCCCAATTAATGAACTAACTTCGGCTCAACATTAATGATCTAGCACTTTAGAAAATAAAGCTCATCACCAAAGTAACCACCACCTCCCAACATCAACACCAGCTCAACCCGAGAACCAGCAGCATCCCAAGGGACCCAATCAAGCTAGCAAGCCAAAGGTCTACCAAAGCCCAAGCACAACCTACCATGATCATTGGATGCCTTCCATCATTGGATAGCTAAAAAAATATAAAACTAAATGAAAAACTAATGTTCAATATTTGATAATGAAAATACAGAAATTATGAATGCATCAGTTTGTAAGGGTCTTGTAAGCGTCTTTTGTTGTAAGTATCTTTTTATGATATAAAAGGTGTCTTTTTTAGTATTTTATGTATTTTCTTATCATAGGAAGAGTCTAGTTTTTGCTTGCAAAAATTTGGGGCTTTTTCCCAAATTTTTGCTTGCATCAATCATTATTATTGCTTTAGTCTTTCTTCGCTACTTTTCCTCAGAGTGAAGAGTGAGGGAAACTCTGGTGAAATATCTAACTGTTAACCGTTGGATTAGTGTTATTCACATATTTGTCTTTACTTTATTTTGTTATTATTTTATATTGCTCGGTTAGTCTAATTTGTAACTTCTTGCCTAAACAAATCCATAACTACGAGAACTAAAATCTAGTCTTGGTGAAACATTAAACTATAATTTACAACACTTAAACAACTTTTTATTAAAATCCGGCAATTCCTGTTCATTGTTTCACATCAAGAATGCTTGATACGAGCTTACTGTCTTTCCACGTTTAGGGATATACTAACTACATCTTTAAGCGACCAGTAAAGTTGTAATTGGACAACATTTGCAATTGAGGGTGGTTATCTCCCTAAGAATCGTGCTATAGTATTTTCTTCTGGCTTGGCCAGATCGCATTTAAAAGAAAGCTACTAAAAAGCAGCTATGCACTCCTCAACGGTGGAATGATGTTGCTGCAATTGCGAAAGCTTCAAGAATAAGTCCTGACAGTATTGATCAGGTACATATTTTTGTTGTAACTCTTTTTTTCATTTTTTCCCATATAATGATCTTACTTCTACATTTCCAATTGCGGCTTCGTTTTAAATTCTCCCATCAAAGATATGCATTCTTCTTCAGTTTGATGACTACGCACTTGACAATACGATTCGTCGGGACTTCTTTGAATTCAAAATTTTTTTCGATTGTGTGTAACCAGTTAATGAACTCGTCATGATCCTTTCAACCTTCAAAATTAGGCAGTTCAATTTTGATGCCGCACTCCAGGGGAGGTCCTCGTCCCCTTCGTCTGTGAAGCAATCGTACATATTTGTCATCACTCGATACTTCTTGATGAAAAGGCTCGACGTTTTTTAGTTCCTATTCTTGCCATCACCTAGCCTCCCTCTGTTCGAACCTTGCCAGTCTTTGCTGCAGTTGGGTAATTTCTAGTTGCAAATCGTCAATTATTATTTTTTGGTGAGGTCGTTGTTGATTGCATCGAGGCGGCATACTAGGTAGGCTTTGATACCATTATGTCACCGTCTCCTTCCTGCAATAGATGTTCACCTTGAGAAGAACCTCCTCCAATAGGTACAACACCCGCAAGAACCACCACTTGAAAACTCAGGATACAGTGCAAGAACTCATAATGAGAAACAAATACCAATTCTATTATCCTCACTAAAGGAAAGCCCACTATTTATAATTTTCTTTCCACAGCACAACTCATTTCTAAAGCAGGTCCTATTAATAGGCTAAATGGTTGCTATTAACTAAACATAAAAAAATTATAGTTAGTTAAACCAGATCCTATGCCTTCATTATAGTGCAGCTCTTGCATCAGGTCCATTCCGACTTTGACCCAACCAAACTTACATTAATCTATATATTAATCCTACCCAATTTAAACATAAGCATTGACTTCTTAATTGAGTTTGATCATTTAGGAAACCTTAACCCCCATCAGTAAACCTTGTTTAGAGGCACATTACTTGTTTGGAACATCTTTGAGATTGATACACTTAAGTTGCCTTCCAATAATCCTCATGGGCCCATAGAGTGCATTGATTCGCTACAATTAATCCTCTATTGTACCATGCATGTGTCTTTTGAAGCCTACAAGCTTGATTTAGTTTTAGAAGATGACGCAGAGCTCAGCATTTATACACTTCTGACACCTCCCCCCCCCCCCACCACACACACACACACATCTTTGGCCATATTGCTTGCTAGTGTTAAAATTGCCAATTAAATAATTAATGATTAGCGGTGTTTACAAAGTTATTTAATAAATCGTTTTAATTGGTTCTGAGTGATTAATGAAATGACAATAGTTTTCAGTTGTTAAATATAGAGTCATTAACTATCATTGACTATTTTAAAAATGGTTAATTATTTTTAATTGATTTTATGTAATATAAATTAATCCTCCTATTCTCTCTTCCCTATTTTTGTCACTTCTTATTTATCGTTTTTACTCATTAAATCCATAAACCTGGCCTTTGATTGTATTTGCTAAATTTCTAAATATGACTTATGGATTTATTAAATTTCTAACAAGTTGGAACTAATAAATCAGGACAAATTCAACTTTACAAAATTCTTAAACCTAGATGATAAGTTTAGAGGGGGAAAATGTTTCAAGGATGATAAGTTTAGGATATTTGGCGGGGTCTAAAAAGTGATCCTTATTATAATTCCTTGCTACCAAAAAGCCCTTCGATGTGAATGGGTAAATGATTTTTTTGTGTATCCCACGCGTGTAGCTGGGCTGAAAGAGGTCACTGTGGTCTAGTAGCCCCCCACTAGTGATGGTTTCGACCTTTTGAATATGGTTTTTTGAATTTGACTAAACCCTCTATGAATACTTGCCATGCAATAGTTGTTTTTCTTATTATCTTAGCTATCCTTTTTTGTTTGGGGAATTAAAGTGCGTGCTAGTTACCTTTAAGAGAGTCTGCCTTTTTAACCTTTTTTAGCTCCAATATTTTTTTTTAACCCTTTAATTCCATGCAGTGGTATGTTTTGTAATTCTTGGCAATAATATATATATATATATTCACACACACGCGTGCGCACACATACCATACATACACATACTTTTTTATGAACAATTTCTTAATCTTGGGTCAGAGCATGATATTGTTTATTGATATGTTCTTAAATTGCTCTCATATTTCTTTCAGGTTATGAAGCACCGAATTTGAGGTATGCAAGATTCTCGATGGTCATATAGAATGATTGGACATCATGAGACATGAAATCAGCAGTTATTTTTTATTATCATTTTCTTTTTTGTTATGTTAGCTTTATCCTTATGCAATTGTGAACTTCTTCCTTCTTTTTTATAATATGTATTATACTATCATCTTTGTTTTTTGATATATTCTTTTGGTTTTGCATTTCTCAGCATCTTGACTTGTGTAATACAATATTGAACCATCATAATATGTTTTATCTTCAATACAATTTGAGTCATCTTAAAATGTTTATTTGTAGCCTTTTTCTTGAGTCAACTATATATCAGAATTTCTTCTGCAAAATATTTTACTAAAAAGAAACTTTGGTAAATAAAGCTCCTTATTTGTTATATGCAAACAAGTAAATCAATAATGTCCTTGAAATTGGATTTCTTGGTATTGGAGTTGTTAACAAAAAGAAGGGAGACTCTGTATCTCAAACAAAATAACCACTAATCTCATTGAAGAATTTGGAGTTTTAGGTGCAAATCTGCCGATATCCCATGTATAATCAAACTATATATTATGAGGATATTCCATTTGATCATTGATCCCAATATCGAAAGATTAGTTAGAAAAGTGACTTATGCAGTAGTTATGTGGCCTCGTACCTTTTTTGTTGTTGGAGTTGTTGAGCCAAAACATACAAAACCTAAAGCATAAGCATCAAGATGGTGTTCTTCACATTCTTAATTACATAAAGAAAGCTCCTGAAAGAGTGTTGTTGTACATTCAAATCGGTCACTTAAATATTAAAGTATTCAGTAATGCTAACTATGTTGGATCTATTAATGAGAAAAGACAACTTTTATGTATTCTATTGTTGTGGAAGGTAATATGTTCACTTCTAAGAATAAGAAGCAAATTGTTATAGTAAGATCCAATGCTAAATTAGAATACAGATCCTTGACTCTTTCTACATGTGAAATAATATAAGTCGAGATTGTTTTAAAAGGTAAATTTTTCAAAAATTGAGCATATGGCTCAATAATTGTGACAATCATGCAACTATATACTGCCATGAATCCAGTGTTTTCTGAAGGGCCTATTCTATGAGGTTGATTATTATTTCATACAAGATGTTGCACTCTCTAAGATGATTGCTACTCCCCATATATCTAATTCAAAACAAGTGGTAGACATCTTTATCAAAACTTTGGATCGTCTCTCATTTTCTTTCTTATGTTACAAGCTGAACCTATCAGGTATGTAGGCTCAGCTTGAATGGGAATATGAGCCTGCGATGCTTATTAGAGAACATCATCACTACATTAGGATAATATATTTAGAAAAAATATGTATTTATTCTCTTTTAATCATATTTACTCTCTAATTTATGTTCTTTTTATTGTATTCATATTATACACTTACAAATAGACATCTCTGTTTGTTGAATAAGGTCATCTGATTCTCTACTCATAATTAGTTATTTGGCCCTTAAACAAGGGTTAGTTTTGTAATTTGACTGCAGTAGCGGGCTTTTTATTTTGATAAGATTTATTCATTTTTATGTTACCTGTTGACTCTAATCATTCACTTTGTAACTTAAGTTGCATGGTAAACAGGTTTGTAAGTTTGTTAAAGAAGTTGACAATCTACAATGACTTTTACTATGCTGACAGAAGCTACTTTAATGATATTACAAATGATTTTTTCATTGAATTATTTAGCCTTTGTTGGCACAAATTCCTTGAGAATTTAAGAAATTATATCTCTAGTGGACACAAATCCTCGAGTATTTAATATCAAAGGATGTTTTTCTCCTACAATTTGAACTAGGACCGTTTGAAAGGCCTTTCTGAATCAATTTCAAGTTCTACGTGGTTTTCATAGTGGTACAAGAATCACAAAGCAGCTAATGTTGTGGAAATAAGCACCTGCTTGGCTTTGCAGTGGATGAATAGTCATATAACTAACCATGCTCCGTTTTGAAGCATGGTTAGGTGTGCTGTTCCATCTATACCCTGATCAAATCATACGGATGCTAGAAATTCTAAGTCCATTAGTGTGGGTTGGTGGGACTCTTGACGACCATGGCTGATCATGAAACTAAATTTAGTAAAACAAAGATAATTTGAACCTAACAATTGCTGATATATCTTTGGTAGTATAGGGGTTAATGATGAAATTGATAAATGAATATTACAAGCATGGAAATTTTGAAAAATAGGTCTTTGGCATGATAATAAACAGAAACTATATCATATTACATTTCTATAAATCGTTACACAAGAATCAATATATATGTTAAATAAACAATACAATTTTATCACTTCATTAAGCACAAAGCTTGGGTAGTTTGTAAATTATAGAGAAAAAGATGCTGTAAGGTTTCATCTAGCAGTGTTCATTTGTGTTCCAAACTCGTCTTGTTCCATTGTGGACTCTGAAAATTTGTGCTCCGGCCTCTCCGTGACCTTTTCTTTTGTGTCGACGAAGAGATTTTTAACGAGTTTAGGTTCCGGGGTAAATGTTTAGAAGACATATTGGGTTTTAGATAAGACACCACCAAGAGATTTCACCCTCATTTTACGAGGTCTTTAGATATAAATTTAGGTTTCATATAGGTGCAAACCCCTATAGTTAGTTACCTCTCCCAATAACGATAGAGAACTTTTAATTAAGGATAGTCGTTGAACAAATATGTAGTATCCAGAATATAATAGCAACAACATTAGATATTAAAAGTAAATTTATCACTATGCATTTAAAGCGGATGGTGGGGGAATAATGATAACCTAATCAAAATCCCATGATTTCGTCATCTTGGGCCATCATGTCCTTAGTCTACTTAGTCATAGGAGGTAATCGACCCAACCTGACCGAAGGATCGTTGTCGCAGCCGTGAGTTGCTTCGTCAAAGGGTACATTGTAGACTTGGGGTGAATGTTTGTTTAAGGGGACAGATTTCGGATCACTTTAGCTGACAAAAGGCTTTGTGCCCTATCAATTATATCATATTTATTCATTCCTCGAGGTTTTAGAGCCATTAGGGAACATATGGGCTCTGACCATGACCGTAATTTAGTGGTACCATTTAGCATATAACAATATCTTGGTCAGAGGGTTCGATCACAACAGTTTACCTCTGGTGTCATTTGGCGGCAAAACCGTCAGTTAGAGGAGACGTGTCATGTTCTTACTAGCAATAGATGGTTTGTTCGGTATGATAACTTGGCACTATGAATTCTCTACTTATGCTTACAAGTGAATTGTAGTGTTCATTAGATGTTCCTTGTTATTATCCATAAAAAGGATGGTTTGTTTGATACGAGCTACTTGCCCATGCCTGTAAACTAATTATTGTGGGCACTACGAATTCTTTGCTCCTGCTTATAGGTAAATTATAGTATTCATTAGAAGTTCCTTGCTATTATCCATAAAAGGCTGGTTTGCTTGATATGAGCTCCTTGTCCACGCCGCTAGACTAGTTATTGTGGGCACTACGAATTCTCTGCTCCTGCTTACTGGTGAATTGTAGTATTACAAACAACTTGTTATTTCGTATAAATAGACTATTGGCAAGCAGTGACCATTCAAAGCCACTAGCTATTGCATGTAGGCAAGTTGTATTTAGTGCAAATCCTCTAATATTGCTTGTGGAGGGAACTGTTGTATACATCACAAGTCTTATATTGTTGCCCGCAGGTGCTTGTATTCATTGCAATCTCCTTGGATATACTTGTAGGAAAATCATCACACTTACATCATGTCCACTATTATTATTCGCAAGCGGATTAGTGGTGTTCGCTTGCAAGTTAGTTGATGTTAACTATAGATGGGTTGTATTCATTCCAAGTATACTATTATTTTAGTGAATTAGCGCATTCAGCATAAGCCCTTTAACGAGTTAGCACATTCATTAGGAGCTCCCGTTGTTAATACCCTCAAGTTTCTTGCACAGGCTTGCAGGCTGACTGATATGAACATTAAAAGTTTTATGTTGTTCATGTTTAAGTTATGGCATCCATTAGAGATTTCGTATTATTGCTTGCAATCAGATTGTCATATTCCCCTCAATTCTCGTTGGTCATTGCTTGCAAGCAAATTATGTTTGAAATTTTGTCCACCTCAAGTCCCTTATTTGTTCATCTATGTTCGATTAAGTGACCAAAATTATTATTCAGCATTTGCATTTCATCTTGATTTATGCATTTAATTTTTCGCTTTGTTGCGTTGATAATTTAAAGTTCTCTGTGATTTTGTTTTAGTCTAGTTCTTGTGAGTCAAATCAGTATGAATTATGGCAGTCTCCCGGCGTCTCCCTCGTTTAGGGAAATTTTTGAGAGTCTAGGCCTGCACACCACACCACGAAAGGCATGCATGGTCGTTGTCAGGTGACATCGTAGTCGTGGTCTTCTACCCCACCAAGCCAAGAAAGACGTGCATGGGTTGCAAGCATACTTGCACGAAAAAACTTACAAATTTCCCCGCCGGCTTGAAAGCGTGCACATGTATTTAATTTTTTTACCTCATCGTACTAGGAAAAACACGCACGAGGTTTACTCGATTCGTCGCAGGCATCGCACTGAGCTTCCTCCCATCGTGCTAAGAAAAGCGTGCATAGGAGATCTACTCGCTGCGCCGCAAGTGCCAACAATGGGATTTGATGTTTAAAGTTTAGTGAGTGTTATACCTTGGCAAGCAAGACGACGGTGACGACGAGGAAGAGGGCACGAGAACAACAAGGACAGGACACTAATCTCTTTCTTTTTTCTTCTTTTTTTTCAAATAATATTAATAAAAAAAGTGGCTATTGTGTAGTGGAGATTGGTAGTTGGGTTGGACCTTGGGTTAGAAAAAAAGTGGTTTGGATGAGCTTTAGGCTACAGGTGGCTAGGAGGATGATAAGGTTAGGGACTTTGTTGGGCAGGAGATGGTTTGCACTAGTTGGAGATGTGTGTTGGGTTACAAGAAATGTGTTGGGCTTTTGGTTTATAGTGGGATGTTTTGGGTTGGATATGGGTG